TCCTATAAATTGTCCTCTGAGAATAGCATTTGCTGTGTCCCAAAGGTTTTGGTATGATGTGTTTTCATTCTTGTTTGATTCTAGGTATTTCTTGATTCCATCTCTGATTTCTTCTATTACTCAGTGGTTTGTAAGCAGGGTGTTATTCAGTTTCCATATAATTGATATTTGTTCCTTGCTCTTCCTGTTGTTAATTTCCACCTTGATGGTGTTATGGTCAGAGAAGATACTTTGTATTATCTTAGTGTTTTGGATGTTGTTGAAGGTTGCTGTATGGCCTAGGATGTGTTCTATTCTGGAGAACGTTCCATGTACATTGGAAAAAAAATGTGTACTTTGCAGCTGTTGGGTGGAGTATTCTGTATAGGTCTATGGGGTCAAGTTGGCTGACTGTGCCCTTTAGGTCTTTTGTATCTTTGTTGAGTTTCTTTCTAGATTTTCTGTCCTTTACCAAGAGTGGTGTGTTGAAGTCTCCTACTATTATTGTGGAACTGTCAATTTCTGTTTTCAGTGCTGTTAGAGTTTATGTATTTTAGAGTCCTTTCATTGGGTGCGTAGATGTTTATTATCGTTATGTCTTCATGCTGGATCTTCCCTTTAATCATGTTATATATCCTTCTTTGTCCTTTGTGGTGGGTTTTGTTTGAAAGTCTATTTTATCTGAGATTAGTATTGCCACTTCTGCTCTGTTTTGGTAGTTGTTTGGTTGATATATTTTTTTCCATCCTTTGATTTTTAATAAATTTGTCTTTGTTTCTGAGGTGTGTCTCTTGTAGACAGCATTTTGAGGAATCCTGGTTTTTTTATCCATTCTGTCACTCTCTGTCTCTTTATGGGTGCATTTAGGCCATTTACATTCAGTGTAATTATTGATAAGTGTGAGTTTATTGCTGTCATTTTGTAGTGTGTGTTTTTTTTTTTTGCTGTGCTGAATTCCTTTTCTTTGTGGATTTTTTGTTTAATTTCTTTTGTTTTCACAGATTTTGTTTTTACTGAGACTTGATGTTTTTCTTTTTTATTTTGTTGAGTAGGTTTGTTGATTTTCTTTGTAGTTACCTTGAAATATACTCCTCTCTTCCTAGGTTTGAACCAGTCTGTTATTACTTGATACCGCCTTGCCTTCCTCTCCATTAGAAGTTTCTATATCTACACTGTTTATTCCTTTCTTTATTGTTCTGATGTTGTTGTCATTTACAGCTTAACCTCTCTGGTTCCCTGTTGTAATTCTTTTGGTTTTGGATAGTCTTTGAGAGTTCATTTCCTAGGTTATTATCTGGCTGTTTTGATCTTGTGTCCTAGATTAAGGCTGTGTTCTGATGTTGTTTGTTCTCAGATCGAAGGACTCCCTTTAATAATTCTTTTAAGTTTGGCTTGGTTTTTACCTATTTCCTTAATTTCTGTTTATCTGGAAATGTCCTAATTTCACCATCATATTTGAATGAGAGTTTTGCAGGATATGTTATTCTTTGTCTGCAGTTTTTTTCTTTCAAGCTTTTGTATATGTCATCCTATTGCCTTCTTGCCTGCATGGTTTCTGCCAAATAATCCGAACTGTGTTATTGGTTCTCCTCTGTATGTGACTTTTTGTTTTTCTCGAGCTGCCCTCAGGATTCTTTGTCTTTGGTTTTAGCAATTGTGTGATTTGCCTTGGTGATTTTCTTTTGGGGTCCGTTCTATATGGGGTTTGTTGTGTTTCTTGGATGGTCAGCTTTTCATCTTTCATGATATTGGGTAAGTTTTCTTTCAGCAGTTCATTAATGATCTTCTCTGTTTTTTCTGTTTTCTCCCCGTTCTGGAACTCTGATCACTCGCAGAGTTTTGCTTTTGATTGTATCCTACATAATTCTCATGGTGTCTTCATTTTTTTAATTCTTTTTTCTGATTTTTCCTCAGACAAAGTTCTATCCAAGTGTTTGTCTTCAGATCTTGTCTTCCATAGTTTCAGCCCTGCTCTTCAGCCCTTCTGTAACACTGTCCGTTACTGAAATCTTGCTATTTATGTTTTAGATCTCTGATTGTTGTTTTTGTATGATTTCTAATTGTGAATTTATTTTGGCATTTTGTTCCTGTATTATTTTCCTGTATTCTTCCTTTTTTTTTAAAATGTATTTTCCATGAATTTGTCTGTCTTGTCTATGAATTTGTCTGTTTTGTCCTCATTTTTGTCTGCTTTATGCTTCAACTCTTGTATAGCTCTGCATATTAGAGATTTGAATTCCCTATCAGGTAGTTCCAGTGTCTTTTCTCCTACTGGAAAGTCATTTGGTATTTTATTCTGGATGTCTACTGGAACCATCCTGTCCTGTTTTTTAATATGTTCCAATACTGTCTGCTGTCTTTGGGACATTCAGTAGTTATTTTCCTCATTTTTTGATTGTTGATTTGTTTTTCTGTTTTATTGGTTGTGTCTGAGCAGGCAGGCTGTGTGTTCTTCGTTGTTTGCTTGTGTGTTGGCATGATACTTTTCACCTCTTTGTCCAATGGGCAGGGTCAGACGCTCAGCTGTGGTGCAGCAGGGCAGATCCAGCTGAAGGGGAGTTTGTGGAATACGTTGTTTGCATCACATACTGTGGCCAACAGTGTGGGCCGGAAATCAGTGCAAGGCAGGTTCTGGTAGGCCATGCCTGTGCTGCTCAGGGGTGTGATGTTCTGTGCATGGTGCAGCTAGGCAGGAAGGAAGGGGAAGATTTAGATGTGTGGAACTAAGATGGGTATTGGAAAGATGAGAGAGAGGAGAGAGAAACAGGAGCCAAGACAAAGAAACAATCAAACATTTAAAAAAGAAAAAAGAGTGCTAAGGGAGCTTGTCATTGGAATGGAGAGTTGCGAAACTGAGAAATGGAGAAAAATAAAAAGAAAACAAAAAAATAAAATCAGTAAGGGAAAAATAAATTTAAAAAAATATAAAAAGAAAAGCCACCAGGGATCCCACTGGTGCAGCTGTGAAGACTGGGAAGTGGCTCCTTGTCCGCGAAGTACAGCCTGGCTAGAAGGTTTAGAGGTTTCACACAGTGCCAAGTATTCAGGAGACAGGAATATAAGGTAAATATAGAGAGACAAGAAACTGAGAAATGAAGAAAGACAAAAAGGAAAAAAGAAAACAAAAAAGATGAAAGAAATGCCTGTAGGGATCCCACTGTGTGGTTGCGCAGACTTCAGACGTACCTCCCAATCTGCACAGTGCAGCCCGGCTAGAAGGGGCTCCCAAGCTGTGAAAAGAAGGAGAAAGCAAATAAACAAAACAAAACCAAACAAATCAAAACGAACAAAAGCCCCAGGGATCCCACCAGCTTGGTGACGCAGGCCAGTAAGCAGTTCCAGAGTCTATCGGCATTTCACAGCCTTTCAAGAGGAAGCAAAGATGACACATGGAGTCCGGTATTGAGAGAAAGGGAGTGGAGGTGGTGAGAGATATGGAAGAAATGAAAAGAAGTGGAAAGAAGCAACACCAGCAACAAACAAAAATGACTCAGGGAGCTGGCCAGTGTGGGCAGATGGAATCCAAGTGGCACAGGGCTGAAGCCGGTGCTACTCGGCTAAGACACTTTGGCTGTAGGAAGCAAAGTAGGCAAAGTGAGGGTGAAGAAGTGTTGGGGATAGAAAAGCGTGTATCACTGATTACCGGTTGTTGTGTCTCCTGGTGGGAGATGCGTGAAGCTGCTTTCCCGTACTTCCTTTTTGCCAGTTTCTGACAGGAGTCCAAGATGGTGAATCCATGTTGCATTAGCTGATGGGCGAACTCTGCACAAATCTCTCCTCACTATCTGTTCTCTGTCAGTTTCTTATTCCATTTGTTGCTTGGCTGAGTTCTCTCTTCATTTGATGCTTAGGATTCCAGGATGGATGTTTGTCTCTGTTTGACTTCGTTTTTTCGTGTGGAGGGACAACGTGGTGCTTGTCCATAGCGCTATGTTGCCCAGAAGTTCTTTTTTTTAAAAAAATTGTGTTTTAGGTGAACGTTTACATAGCAAGTTAGGTTTTCATTTAACAATTTTTATACAACTTATTCTATGACATTAGTTACGTGTTTCAGAAAGTGTCAAGATTGTCATTATTTCCATTCTTTTTGTTCTGCTTCCGTTAATCTCACTTCCGTGCCTCTCCTTAGCTTCTCATCTTTGTTTTAGGGTAAATGTTGACCATTTGGTCTCATATTGTTGACTAATGTAAGGAAGCCTTTTTTTTCATAATTTCTTCTTGAAAAATGTAATCACATACAGATTTCTATCTGTTTGCAACACAAAATTAATGTGAATTCCATTTCAAGCTAACCAGTATAAGAAAGTTTCTGAAACTCTTTTTTATATTTTTAAGTGCTGTATGTGGATGACTTGCTAAACTTTAGTTTTTAGAGAAATACATTTTCATTGTTTAATTTTCATCATTTTGTTAAGTTGTGGGAATGATGATAATATTATGATTAATTTAAAGCCCTTCCCTTTTATGTTTTTATTTACATGTATTGTTTTTAGTGTTAACTACCTCCTAAATTTCTGAGAAAAGACTTTTTTTTGGCCTGTTAACAGAAAACAATCCTTGAGATAAGCAGTGAGTTTTTTTCCCCCGAGCATTAGTGTTAAGTAAGGCAAAGCATGACTACAAGTGACTACTGATGCATCCCTTAAAGCAAAAGACCTTGAAAATTTCTTTAGAATTATTGCTTAACGTATGGTTTAATTTGATTAGCCATTTTTTTTAGAAGATAAGATTGCTTTCCTCTAATCAAGTCCATCTTGTATTACTGAGTCAAACTATAATTAATGTTTGGATAAGCTCTTAAAAAGATAGAAAGGGAAACCAGTTATTAGTTACCAGACTATTGTTTGCAGCTACTGGTTTTCAATTGTAGGTTCCAAATCATAGATTGAGAAAAAATCTGTATAAGAATTCATTTTTCATATTAGTGTATTATCTGTTACTTGTTGACTTTTTAAGAGTTTTTTAGTTCTTTCATGGTTTGTTAGATAAAAGCTTATTCTATTTTTTTTTTTTTAAGCCCTGGTACTAATGGTTTTCTCCTTGCTTATTTATGACATACATTTAGGACAAATTAAAGCATATACTATCTTATACTATCCTACTACTCTTCTTTCTAATATTTTAAGGGTAAGGAAGAGAGGAATTCTGGGTATTCATTTGTGTTTTTCTCTTCCTTAGTCTCCCATGGAGGGAGAAAGATGTGGCAGTCTGCTTCCGTAAAGATTACAGCCTTGAAAACCCTATGGGGAAGTTCTGCTCTGTCCCATAGGGTTATTATGAGTTGGAATCAACTCGATGGCAATGGATTTGGTTTTGATTTTAGTCTCACATGAATACATGACTTGATTTATCTTGATCAGCCTAGTAACTTGCTCCACATTTTTCTGAAAGTGCAAAGCAGTTTCAGCTAAAAATACACATATCAAAATGCTCCAAAAGTTGTGGCCACAGCTCAGAAATGCTGATCAATTTTGAAAATCTAAATAAGCCTCTGCCATGAAACCCAGGGAAGAACCTTTGTGGTGGGGGACAGATTTCCAAAAATTCACCACAGTCCTGTTCTTAGCTAGAGTTTATGCTGATGTTGCCAGACAACTGAGGAATAGATGCAAAAAGCAGGGAGCATTATTGAATTGAGCCCCAGAGCCAATTTGGGAAAAGCAAATTAAAATGTAAAAGAATATTTTTCCACCCCTGGCTTCTCAACATAAAATGGCAAAATACATGGTTGCTGAAAAAGTTACAGAAAGTGCTAATTTTGCCGGAAAGTAAAAATCAGTTACTCATTCTTTTTACATTAATAATGCATACACAGATAGCAGTTACAAAAGGAAAAAAAGTATTTTTAATTCAAAAGAAATATTTTAATTTACAAATTAAAGTGCACATATATTTAAGTACAAGATTTTGACATAAATATGTGTGCGGTGTTGTTTCAATGTCTTTGATTTTGTTTTTAGGCTCCACTTGAAGAATGGATGATGATGATTTTGGTGGTTTTGAGGTATGCACTATTCCTTAACATATTTTACTTAAATAATTGTTTAACTCTGTAGGGTTATAGTAGAGGTAACTATTTTGAAAATGTATTATTATTGGGATTCATAATTTCTTCTAGATCATTTTGAATGTAACTCTGGAAATAAAAAATGAAATCAAAGAAAATTTAAAAAAGTCTCCTCTCTGAAAGTTAAAACTAATTTATTGTTATTGAAGTTGATCTCCCCAGTTGGAGTGGTTTAAAGTGAGATAATTAAGTTCTACCAGTAGAAGCATTAAAAAAAGAGGTTTTAAAAAATTGTCAGCAGATGATTTTGCTGGGGTACATGCCTATTAGGATATACTTGAGAGATGAGGGATGAGTATTGACACTCCAGTCACATGTTTTCATGTTTATACCTCTACTGAGTTGATATAGTATGGTAAGTACACAACCTTTTAATGGTTTATAGATCTAATTAGTATGTTTGTGTTACAGACTATTCTCTAAGGTTTGAGTTGGATGCTTTGTAAGTAGAAATTGTTAGCTGAAGAAGCAGTGTCTTTTCCTTTTCAGTGTGTGTTCATTTTATTGAAATATTTTATAACCCAGTTATTTTTATGGAGCCAGTATAGTCTTGCAGGAAAATCTCTGGATTAGGAGTCAGGATGCCCGAGCTCAAGTCCTGGAACCTCCATTAAGTGAGCTCTGTGGATTTTTTTTTTTTTTAATTTTAGTAAGATTTTTACCTAGTTTGGAATTTGGTAACAAAGAGATTGTAAAAAATTAAGGAGTGTAATTAATGACATTAATGGGAGAAATAGGATATTAAGTATATTTTCAGTGTTTTTGAATATCATAAAAGAGGTGTTAGTTCTTTAGCTTAGAATCATTTTCTTTTCTGCTAATATTTTGTCAGTATGAAGGTATTTAGAGTATTGACAGACCTGTTTTCTGTGTTTCATCTCAAACTGTTTTTTGTTTAACACATTTGTGTATTTTTGACTTCCTTTTCAATACTTTGTGTTTTGTTGGATGACTGAGGCTTATTTATGTAACTGAAATATGAAATTTAAAGTTAAAAAAAATTCCTTTCATTTTGAGGAAAATAGAGGTTTCCTGTATCTGACTTTAGTTTATTGTTTGGAAGTTGTCAGTTATTTGAAGGTTACAACTAGTATAAAACCTGATGCCGTCGAGTTGATTCCAACTCATAGTGACCCTATAGGATGGAGTAGAACTACCCCATAGGGTTTCCAGGGAGTGGATGGTGGATTTGAACTGCTGACCTTTTGGTTAGCAGCCAAGCTCTTAAGCACTATGCCACCAGGCTTTATTTAAACCATGCTTGATGTATTATACGAAGGAAAAAAAAAAAAAAGAGTGGATAATGCTCCTTAGAATAACACTTTCGCTTCAATGTTATATTCAATAAATCTATTCCTTTCAATATTACATATGGTACAATGTTAACCAACCATTACAGTTTAATTGTGGTTATTATGTGTCTTTCTTTCCACATCCTGTTGTAGAAGTATGGAAGATCTCTGTCATTGCTTACATAAAACATGTTCATTTTTCATAGTTTGTAGAGAGTGGGTACTGTATTCTTCTACATCAGTGGCAGACTGCCCCATTTAACTTTTTGGTTGATAACTGAATATAGGATCCAAATTGAAATTCTTGCCCTTTTATTTTCAATAATAATTTTGCTGTGACATGGACACCTAAGAGACAGAACACTCTGTACTCTTACCAATGAACTCAGGGTTTGGTAATTGTACCATTGTTTTTAAATTATTGAATAGGAGGGCCTATTGAAAATATTATCTTTAGGAATTCTCTATAAATGTTGAATGCTGGTAAGTCCAGCTATTAGATTATTCAAGAAGATGTATGAATCCTGTTTCTTCAGATTGATCTATAGTTAGGTGTTGTGCTAATTTCTTAAAAGGATTTCTCTCTGGATTTTTAAGGAAAAATTATGTGTATGTGTATATATATGTATGGAAACTCTGGTGGCGTAGTGGTTAAGTACTATGGCTGCTAACCAAAAGGTCAGCGGTTCGAATCCACCAGGTACTCCTTGGAAACTCTATGGGCAGTTCTACTCTGTCCTGTAGGTTCACTATGAGTCAGAATCTACTTGACGGCAACAGGTTTATTATTACATATTACATATTATTACATATTACAGAGACATGTAAATATTGTGATGAATTAGGTTAGAATACTTAGATATAAAATCCATAAGTGAAAATGTGATTATTATTGTTGTTAGCTACTATCGAGTTGATTCCAAGTCATGGTGAAAATGTGATTAAGGATATATAAAATAGAAATTTCATTGGCAGGAGATGTGTATATGTAAGGAAGAAAATATTTTACTTAAGACAATAGGGCATGGATGCTGGAGGTGATGAGTAGCGGCGGAAGTGGTATCAATGAAGACTGAAAAGCAATTGGGTGTTCCGAGGGAATTTGAAAATATGGTTTTACAGAAGATATGTATAGAACTGGCAGGCTTGATCACTTAAATGAAATTTCTGCTTTTCAGATTTTAAAATAATCTTACGTTTATTTTCTAGGCTGCAGAGACTTTTGATAGTGGAAATGGTGAAACCCAAACTATATCTCCTGCTATTCCTTGGGCTGCCTTTCCTACAGGTAAGGGCATTCAGTAATTAGAATTTTTTTTTTTTTCTGTTAACATTTTTGCCTTTTCTTCGAAAGCCTATTTCTCACTTTTACACTTGGTCTTCTCTGATTTGAAAAATGGAATGACCCAGATACGCTCACTAATGTAAGTTTTTCCATAACAGATTATGAATTGCATAACAAATTATACAATGATGGCTTGAAATCTGATTCTAAAAATGGTATCATGAACATTAAATGATATTAAAGTACAGTATACATTTTCTAATTTGTCTTGGTTTTAGGAAGGTGAGGTGCCAAATAACTTTTTCTAGGTTGTCCAGTTCATTAGTTAATGTCTCCCTTCTTCATATATTCTAAAAATAATGTGTTATCTCGAATAGTATTTAAATTTAGAAGATTTTTGAGAGCTTTCCAGAAGCGTTGAAAATGAAAATTAAGCCATCCAAGAAATTAACTGTAACAAAAATTCCATTATTAAGAGATAGTTCTAAGAAAATCTAATGTTTAATAGAATTTATGTCTAAAGAGTATTTTGAGATTTTTGAGTTTTTGTTTCACCAAATCGCTATAAAGTCAGGAGCAGAAGATGAAAATATCTTCCTTTAACAGTTCTCCATAATCCTAGATTATTAGAGTTATTCATCTTATAAATATTTGAGTACTTATTATGCATTAGGCAGTACGGGGGATGAAGATGTACAGAACATAGTCTAGTCCTTTTCCTTCAAGGAAAGGTAGGGCAGGCACATGCAAATTTGTAATATGAAGGATATTTATGATTTGGAAAGACTTCATTAATATATGTCATTCTGTCATCCATTCATTTGACAAATGCTTATTTCATGCCAATTATAGGGTCTCTATGAGTCAGAATCGACTCGATGGCAGCAGGTTTATGGTTAATAAGGAGCTCTGGTGGTGCAGTAGTTAAGCACTAGGCTACTAACCAACAGATTGGCGATTCAAACCCACCCAGTGTTTCTATGGGAGAAAACACCTGGCATCTGCTTCCATAAGGATTACAGCCTAGGAAAACCCTTTGGGGCAGATCTGCTCTGTCCTGTAGGGTCACTGTGAGTTGGAATTGATGCAGTGGCACACAACAGCAACAACACGAGTCAAATACTGTCCTTGAAGCTGGGCATATATTGTTAATCTCAGCTTTGAAGGATGCATGTGATTTCAATACGTGGAGATGGGAGGGTGAGGAAAGCTTTGTTTTTTTTATTGTACTTCAGGTGAAGGTTTACAGAACAAATAGTTTCTCTTTAAACAGTAGTACGCATATTGGTTTATGACATTGGTTAACAACCCCATGACATGTCAACCCTCTCCCTTCTCGACCTTTTTTTCTTGGTGAAAATATACATAGCCAAAGATACACCATTTCAAAAATTTCTACATGCACAGTTCAGTGACATTGACTATGGTCTTCCAGTTGTGCTGCTATTCTCACTTTAGATGAAGGTTTACGGAACAAAATAGTTTCTCATTAAACAGTACACATGTTGCCCTATGATAATGGTTAACAACTTCACAACACATCAACACTGTCCTTACTCAGCCTTGGGTTCCCTATTACCAGCTTTCCTGTCCCCTTCTGCCTTCTAGCCCTTGTCCCTTGACTGCTGTGCCTCATTAGTCCCATTTGGTTTTATGGGGCTGTCCGCTCCCTGGCTGAACGGTGAACCTTGGAAGTGACTTCACCACTGAGCTCAAAGGGTGTCTGAGGGCCATACTCTCGTGGTTTCTCCAGTCTCCTTTAGACCAGTAAATCTGGTCTTTTTTTGTGTGTGTTAGAATTTTGTTCTACATCCTTCTGCAGCTCTGTCCAGAACCCTCTGTTGTGATCCCTGTCAGAGAAGTCACTAGTAGTAGCCGGGCACCATCTAGCTGTACTGGACTCAGTCTGGTGGAGGCCTTGGTAGCTGTGGTCCATTGGTCCCTTGGACTAATCTTTTCCTTGTTTCCTGTTCTCTTCATTCTCCCTTGCTTCCGAAGGGATGAGACCAGTGGAGTATTCTAGATGGCTGCTCACAGGCTTTTAAGACCAGACGCTACTCACCAAGGTAGACTGTAGAACATTGTCTTTATAAACTGTGTTATGCCAATTGAGCTAGATGTTCCCCGAGACCATGGTCCCCACAGCCCTCTGCCCAGTAAGAGGAAAGCTTTTGAAGAGAGAAAAATAAATGGAACACATTTTCAAGTGATGGAAAAGGGATGGCACAGTTAGGATGTTCATTCTTGTTTCCAGGACTTTATATATGTTGTTTCCTTTGCCTGTGATTGTTTCCCCTGCTTCCCACTTCCACTCTCTATCACTCCCTTACCATAGTGACCCCTATTTTTTTTGTGTGTGTGTGTTACTTTTTGCTTTAATGTTTCCTTTCTGGGAGACCTTCGTTGAGGCCTCCCCCATGTCTACATGTACTTATTACTCACTTTCATGTTAGACTGTGTTTTGTGGGTTAGGCACTATGTCTGTCTGTCCTATCGTTATGTCTCAGATGGTTAGCATAGCGCCTAAATTATAGTTGGCCGTCAATAAATATTTGCGGAATGAATACTTAAAGAAAAGAATGAATGTCTGAGTAGCTCAGTGAATGAATAGATTAAGGTAGCTGTAATAAATATGAATAGGAAGTGTTGTTGTGTTGTTGGGTGCCTCGGAGTTGGTTCTGACTCATAGCGACCCAATGTACAACAGAACAAAACACTGCCTGTCCTGCACCATCCTCACAGTCATTGATATGCTTGAGCCCATTGTTGTAGTCACTGTGTCAGTCCATCTTATTGAGGGTCTTCCTCTTTTTCGCTGACCCTCTACCAAGCTTGATGTCCTTCTCCAGGGACTGGTCTTCTGAAAACTTGTCCAAAGTACGTGAAACAAAGTTTCGCTATCCTTGCTTCTAAGGAGGATTCTAGCTGTACAGATTGTTCCAAGACAGATTTGTTTGTTCTTCTGACAGTCCATGGTATATTCAGTATTCTTTGCCAACACTGTAATTCAGAAGCATTAATTCTTGTTCAGTCTTCCTTATTCATTGTCCAGCTTTAGCATGCATATGAGGCGATTGAAAATACCATTGCTTGCATCAGTTGACCTTAGTCCTCAAAGTGACATCTTTGCTTTTTAACACTTTAAAGAGTTCTTATGCAGTAGATTTGCCCAATGCAATATGTCGTTTTTTTTTCTAAATTGTATTTATTTTGTTGTTGTGGAGAATATACACAGCAAAACCTACACCAACTCAGCAGTTTTTACAAGTACAATTTAGTGACATTGATTACATTCTTCGAGTTGTACAATCATTCTTGCTCTCCTTTTCTGAGTTGTTCTCCTTCATTAACATAAACTCACTACCTCCTAAAGTTCTTATCTGATCTTTTGAGTTGCTATTGTCAATTTGATCCTGTACAGATAGTTCTTAAAAGAGCATAATGCTTAAGGCAGACCTGTTTTCCTAGTTAAGCTAAAACTATTGTTTGGTTTTAAGATTATTTCAGTGGATATTTTTGGTTTAAGGTTTAAAGACTATCTCAGGGCAGTAGTTTTAAGGGTTCATCCACTCTCCATAGCTCCAGAAAGTCTAGAGTCTATGAGAATTTGAAATTATGTTCTGCATTTTCCCCCCTTTGATCTGGAATCTTCAATGGAGTCACTGATCAAAATGTTTGGTATTGGTAGCCAGGCACCATCCAGTTCTTCTGGTCTTATGGCAGACGAGGCAGTTGTTCATGGAGGCAGTTAGCCACATAATCCATATCCTCCTCCTATTCCTGACTCTCCTTCTTCCTTGGTTGTTCCAGGTGAAAAGAGATTATTGTACCTTAGATGGATGCTTGCAAGCTTTTAAGACCCCAGGCACTACACAATGGACTAGGAGGTAGAACAGAAGCATTAAATACATTTTTAAGTCACTTAACTGGGATGTCCTGTGAAACCATGACCTCAAACCTTTATTCAAAGGAGCTAAATTACATGAGGTGTTTGGTTGTACATAATCAGCCTCAGCAGCTACTCTTTTTTTATGGTCATTGTTGTAAATATATCTATAACACATCTTATGCCAATTGAATTTTTTGCAGGTGTACTTGACAGCAATTACAATAATTGGCTATGCAACCCAACCCTTAATCAATGCGATTTTTCCATCACCGTTAACCCCCCTTTTCCCTCTCCTTCCTCCCCTTAGTAACCACTAATAAACTTTGGTCTTTGTATATTTGCCTTTTCTTGTCTTTTTATATAAGTGAGGTCATAACCATATTTGTCATTTTGTGACTGGCTTACTTTGCTCAACATAATGTCTTCAAGCTCCATCCATACTGTAGAATGTATCAAGAGTTCATTTCTCCTACTGGCTGAGTAGCATTCCACTGTATGTATGTAGCACATTTTATTTATCCATTCATCTGTTGATGGGCATTTAGGTTTTTTCCACCTTTTGGGTATTGTGCATAGTGCTACAGTGAACATTGGCGTGTGAATCTCTTTTTGAGTCTCTGCTTTAAAGTATTTTGGGTATATACCTAGGAATGGAATTACTGGGTCATATGATAGTTCTGATTTTAGTTTTTTGAGGAACTGCTGCACTGTTTTCTACATCGGCTGTACCATTTTGCATTCTTGCTGGCAATGGGTAAGGGTTCCTATTTCTGCACATTCTTTTTTATTTTTTTATTTTATTTTATTTTTAGTATACATATTGTTTTATGACAATGGTTAACAACCCTATGACATGTCAACACTGTCCCTTCTCAACCTGGGGTTCCGTATTACCAGCTTTCCTGTCCCCTACTGCCTTCTAGTCCTTGTCCCTGGACTGTTGTGCCCCATTAGTCTCATTTTGTTTTATGGGGCTGTCTAATCTTTGGCTGAATGGTGAACCTCGGGAGTGACTTCATTACTGAGCTAAAAGAGTGTCCGGGGGCCATGCTCTCAGGGTAGTCTCTGTCAGGCTAGTAAGTCTGGTTTTTTTTTTGTGAGTTAGAATTTTGTT